TGCAAAACTTAAATTTTTAGTATCATTCTTTAAACAACATTAATTAAGTCATTCTTTAAACAACATTATTATAATATTAATATTAATAAACTGATTTGGTATTATTAAAACTTGGACCAGACCCAGATTATAAACAAGGGAGTGCTAAATATATTTATTTTAACAAGAAATTATATTTCTAGTGATTATCTTTATGTATATTTTTATAATTCATGAAAAATTAAAAAACTTTACTAGATTTCACGAATCCCACGCAGATTTTTTAAAAAACTGCAATTTGCCTATCACTACCAAACACCTAATATATGCGTCTATTCAATTAACGTATCATATTTAGTTTATTGATTTTTTATTTAATTAAGCTTAAAATTTTAAATAACTAATAACACTAACCTGGGAATATGTATTGATAAGATAATTCAATAACATCTAATATAGTAGTAAATATTTAAGTAATATCACTATTACATATCGTTCAATTAAAGTCTTTTATTTAACACAATGTTACCTACACTTTCTACTAAATGTATGAAAGAAATATTTTAATATGTTAAGAAAAATGATGAATTGTGGGCCTGCCTATTTGATAGTTTAAACTTTGATAACATATACAAGATTAAATCAGTTTGCTTGAGAAAGATGAAAAAAGTCATTTTAAAATGATATTAGCTAAAAATTTGTATCGTGGGTCTATACATATGTTTGATTTATTATGTTGACCAAACACCCTAACATCGATATCGTTAAAGAGTTGACTAGACAATCAAAATCTGAAATTTTATTTAAATAATTTTAACAATAATACAATAAGGGTCACTTTGAGATGTTTACTAAAAGAAATCAATCAAATCTTTAATTATGTATATTTTCAATTGAATAGCTACTTTAATTAAATAATTTAATTTGGAAGAAATAAAATAATACATTAAAAAGAAAGGAATTAGATTTCATAGCTATAAAATAGTTTTTATTGTAATTTAGAGTAAAATTTTAAGTTGTAATTAAGCCTGTTTGTCAGAGTAATAATAAAAATAATCTGCAATTGATCAATTGAATTTATGTATTATATAAATATAATCTTTTAGACTATCCTATCTGATAACACTCTGTAATAAGATGTCTGAAAAACAACAAAAAAATGTGCTTTCTCGTGAACAAGAATATCAAACCCTGTTTAATATAGCACTTCAAGTTTACAAAAAAAAAGATTTCAAAACATCTTATTGTTCTTTTCAATCTATTGTATACAGATATAATATAGAAGAAACGAAATTAGCATATGATGCAAAATACTATTTAGCAATTTATTTGATGAATAGGTTCGGAGTTAGTAAGAATCAAAATGAAGCTCGTAGTCTTTTGAAAGAAGTTTCCACAAGTAATTCCAAATTCAAAATAGTTGCTAGAGAAGCCTGCAATAAATAGTTAAATAATTTATATATATAAATAAGCTTATCAAGGTGCTATAATTTTTAAACTGTTTAAAACTATTAAAATACAAAAATAAAGTTCATATAAAGAAACTTATAAATTAATAAATGCATACAAAAAATTTAGCATAGAGAATAGATAGATATGTATAAAGTGGGTAAATTTGATATGTACTTATCAAATAAAGCTTTTAATTTAATTTGACAAACATTATATTAATTAGTGTGACTGCAATACAATGACTACAGAAATTCTGAATAACCTTAATAATTCGGGTTAATATTACCATTATAAAATGGTATATTTGCATTTAAATATATCATTTGAATTTGCCAAATCTCAAATTGGCTCTGACTTGATTGAATTTGACAGATCTGGTTTAATAAAGTATTTTCATTCAATAAATGATTGATTTCACTTGATTGAATTTGACAAATTTTGCTTAAATATCTGAGTTTATTTTCTAGTTGTCTGTTTTTATTTGTTAATGATTCAATTTTTATATATGCTGAGTGTAAAAAAATAACATTAGTAAATCATAACATGGTTGATCAAATTCAAGAATGCTTACCTTCTTTTAATATTCAACTTTATTCATCTTATATATAGACAATTGGTCATTAAGTTTTTTAAAAAAATCCTTAATTTTTGCACGTTGTATTTGCTCGTATTTATTACGCTTTTGATGCTTTGATTCAGTTAAAAATTTCTTCTTAGAACAAAGTGGAAATGATTGAAACATTTTCAGATTAGGATTTAGCTAATTTAGACATAGAAAAACTGAATCGTTTGGAAAAATTATTTAGGTTTGCAAGTAAAAAAAATAACAAAAAAATATATATATATATCTATAATACTTCAATGAACTCTTTCCCATAGATCCTAATTCCATAAGTAAACAATAAAAACAAAACACGGTAAAAGAGTAAAAGACCTCACAG